CAAGCCAATGATGCTATAAGAGATATTGCATATTACCCTCGATCTCTTTTTATTTTTTCCTCCCATCTTGAGAATGAGCATATTCCACAAAGGGACTGCTCCTTTGGCCTAGATGCCAGAATGAGAAACACATGTATTATAGTTACAGTTCTTTAAAGCCTGAAAACATATGGCAAACTAAAAGTAAAATAAACAAGCAATAACCCTGTCTTGTTATAGGTGATGAGAGATTTGACATTGTTTCTTCAGCAAAGTTGACCAATATAGTTAGTTTACAAAGACCTTTCCTAAAAGAATTGCTGAGTTGGAGAATAGTTTTCATTTTTCCTTTATTTATGAGTGGTCATTCTAAAATAGGTATAATAAATCTTCCTCTTTCTGCATAACTTTTATCTTGAGAGTCAGAGAGTTGGGGAGAACTGAATATTAAGTTTGAATGAATGTTCAATTGTTTCAAGAGTTTATATAAGTTAGAAAAATCGTATTTCTTTTGATAAATGAGTAAAAAATTCTTTCTAAAACTGTTGCTAATAACAGAGGTGTACATATGTGTCTGGGCAATCATTGATTCATTGATCCATTCATATATAGTCGTTCATTAAACATTTATGTGTACAAGCTTCTGTTCCATGCAATAAGATTGTATTAATAAATTTTTAAAAATTTCTGCATTCATGGAGCTTAATTTTCTTTTAGTTGAGGAGAGACAGAAAATAAATATGTTATCCTTGATCACCTGGACAAGCTAGAATCTGACAGGTTTTTATATATTTTTTTTTCTTTTTTTTTTTCTCTTTTTTTTTTTTTTTGGAGAGGTTTTCGCTACAGGATGCGTGCGCTCGCCAGACAGACAGAGAGAGACAGAGAGACAGAAAGCGAGAAATCACCCCCCAGGAGGGATGGTCACGCTGCAATCCCTTCTCCTCCATTCTCCTCTTGGGATCTTGGGCATGCATGCACATGCGCCCGGCGTGAGTTTTAAGCCACCAGGTCCAGGACGCGAACCGCAGTCGACTACGTGGGAGTCCAGCGACATAGCCATTACGCTAACTGCTGGTTCCCAAGGATTTTATATATATATTTTAAAAATCTTATTTTTTTCTCTAGCTTTTCTTTAAGCTTTCTTTTTTTCAATATTGACTTCTCTTCTTAATGTCACCTTTACTCTCTGTAATTGATTAGTGTTTCTATAGAGATAGACCTATACTCTCTGTAATTGATTAGCATTTCTATAGAGATAGACCTAGTATCTGTAAATATTGCGTTCCACAATGGTTTAGTTATATATTACAGTATAATAAAGTGTCTTAAAACATTTATTATCACAACAATTTCTGAAGGTTTAGAATCTGAGAATTAGTTAGCAGGGCAGTTCTGGCTAAGGGTCTTTCATGAAATTACAGCAAAATTGTTGTTTAGGACTCAAGTCATCTGAGGCTTGATTAGGACTGGATGATTTGTTTTCTTTTTCTTAAGAAAGATTTTTGCTATAGGGTGCATGTGTTCACCAGAGAGACAGAGAGAGAAAGTAGGAAATTACTCCTCCTGGGGAGGGATGGCCATGCCACAATCCCTTCTCCTCCTTTCTCATCTCAGGATTGTAGGCACACATGCACACACGCCCTGCAAGAGTTTCAAGCCATCAGGTCATGGTTAGCCATACGGGAGTCCAGAGCCTTCATCACTATGCCACCTGCTGACCCCTGCATGATTTGCCTTCAATATGCCTCACAGCTGTTGGCAAGGAGCCTCAGTTCCATTCCAGTTGTTGCCAGATGATCTCATTTCTTTGCAAGAAGTGCCTTTCCCCAGGACTTTGGAGCATCGTTTATCTTAGTAGCTTCATTCCTTCCTTTACAATGGGTCTTCTATTTCTTTTTCTTTCTTTATTGCAGTGGCCAGAATTTCTAGTACTGGAATGAGTAAGAATAATAGCAACAGACTTTCTTGCCTTATTTTTGCCCTTGATGGGAAAGGATTCAGTCTTTCATAATTAAGTATAATGTTAGCTGTAGGTTTTTGTATATACTGTATATTAAGTTGGTGTAGTTTTTCTCTATTCCCAACTTATTGAGACTTTTTATCATTAATGGATGTTAGAATTTATCAATTATTTTCTAAATTAGTATTATTATATGATTATTTTTCTTTAATATGTCGGCATGATGGATTATACTGACCTATTTTCAAATATCTAGACAACCTTACATAGCTGAAATAAATTCCCATGGATCATCGTGTATTATTCTTTTTACATATTGTTGGATTCAGTTTGCTAATATTTTTGTAGAGGATTTTTATGTCTATGTTTATGACAGATATTGATATTGGTATGTGGTTTTTATTATTTTTAGTACCTTTGTCTTGTTTTGTTATTAGAATAAAATAAGATAGCCAACTTGTAAGTAAATTGTTGTCCCCATTTTAAAGTTAATCATCAGTTTTCTTTAAATGTTTGCAAAATTATTCACTAAAGCTATGTAAATTTCTTCTTCAAGAGTACTTTAATTATAAACTAATTTAGTTTAATTATTATTGAATATTCAAGTTATCTATTTTATTTTGTATGCATTTGGAAGAAATTTTTCTAGTTTTTTTTCTTAATGGATCAAACTTCGGAACATAAAATTGTAACATTTCTATATTATTCTTTTATTGGCTACAGAATTGGTGGTTATATGCCCTGTTTTCATTGCTAATTTTGTCAATTTATATCTTCTATCTTTTCATATTTGTTGGCCTTGCTAAAATTTTATCAATGTTTTTAATCTGAGGAGGAGACCTAAGTTTTAGTTTTATTAATTTTCCCTATTATTTTCCTGTAGCCAGTTTCATTTCTTTCTGTTTTTGTCTGTTATTATTTCCTTCCCTCTGCTTATTTTAGTCTTATTTTACTTTGGTAAGCAAATAAGAAAAGTTAAAAACATTGGTCAAAGTGTAGCAAAAACAGAAATTTATTGAGTTAAAACTTCCTATTCCCATAGAAACATTTTTTAACTTCCCTAAAGACACCTAAGAAGTAGAGTAAGGCTTTTAAGAAACTTGCAGGTTTAGGAAGAATAAAAATTATATTCCAGGGCCCAGCAAAGGATAGAGTGAGAGTGGAAAGGGGTCTTTTTGGTCCCTGTTTTTTAAGTTGGATCCTAAAGGCATTAGATCCCAGAAGTTAGTGTGAATTTTCTTTTCCTCTTCCTTTCTTTTTTTATTTCCCTTTAAGAGTGGTGTCATGACAAGGGGCTAAAGACTTTCTGGGGCCTGGCAAACAACACACCTGAGGAATGTGGATGTATCAGTGAATTCAGAGGTCAAAAAGCTAACAGGACAGAGAAGGCACTCAGCATGATCAGGAAACTGGATACATATGAAGTGGTGTTTAAGCAGACCCGTAACTATACTAAGTATGAAGAGTACAAAACATACAAGTTATGAAAAATGAGAAGGTTAAATAAATCCCCTGAGGTTTTATATTGGACTAGAATTACAAGCATTTGCATAATCCTGTATTTTTTATAGTACATATGGACACATATCTGTGTGTATATGTATGGAGAGACTGAGAGAAAGGTAGCTGTCAACTAAGATGATCTAAAAGCAATGATAGCCTTGTAACAATGAGCACACAAAATACCTATGTCTTCATTTCTAAATGTCATCCTCCACCAAAGGGAACTCTAGCTCCTTGGAAAAACAGCAGACATCAGAGTTTGAGCAATAATAATAATAACAATAATAGATGATAAACCTTAAAACAAGGAAGTTCTCAAAAGATGATAGGGGGAACCAGCAGTTGGCGCAATGGCTATGTCGCTGGACTCCCACGTAGTGGACTGCGATTCGCATCCCGGACTCGGTGGCTTAAAACTCATGTCGGGCACGTGTGCGTGCGTGCCTAAGATCCTGAGAGGGGAATGGAGGAGAAGGGATTGCGGCATGACCATCCTCCCTGGGGGTTAATTTCTCGCTTTCTGTCTCTCTGTCTCTCTCTGTCTGTCTGGCGAGCGCATGCGCCCTATAGCGAAAAACCTCTCCAAAAATAAAGATGATAGGGAAGTGTCAAAGAGACACAAAGCCAGTTTGAAGGTATTCCCATCAACAGGATCTGGAATAATTTGCATAAAATGTCCTTCACTTTGGGTTTGTTCCATGTTTTCCTCATAGTTAGACAATAGCTATAGGTTTTGGAGAGAAGGACCACAAAGTAAAGAGCAATATTCATCACATATTAAGGGCACCTACTTTCAACATGTGTGAACACTGATGATGTTAACCTGGGTTACCTGGCTAAGGAAGTTGGTCCTACCTTGGCCCCTAATCTGCATGCTGTCACTGTTCCCTCCACATTTCACTTACTGTCCATTGCACACTCTTTACAAGAAAATCACTTTGTGAATTCCATACTTAAAGAATGGGATGGAGATGGGCACAGCAGGTGATGTGGGGGTTAAGGCACTAGATTACCACGTGGTTGACCATAGTTCGAGTCCCAAACCTGACAGTTGGCTTTCTCACCTTTTCTCTCTCTGTAGCTCTCTGGAGGGCACACATGCCCTATAGGAATTAAAACAAACAAAGTAATAATAAATAAAATTAAATAAATACTTTTTAAAAAATGAGATGGAGAACTAAGCATAATTAGTTGGAGCTCTTCTTTCTGGTATGTTTATTTTCCTCTAATTATTTATTCATTTATTTATCTGCATCAGCATGAACTCATGGATATTTACCTTATAATATTGGTAATAATCCAATACTATTTTATTTTAGATTTGACTTTTTAGTTTAAAAATTAAGGAGGTAGGAACTACCTAAGTTACATAGAGGATTTATGATAATCTCATACATCCTTTGTTTTAGATCGAAGAAACAAATATTGAGTAAAGATAGTAGAGAAAAATAAATCACTAATAGATTTTTTAAAATAAACTGACATAAACCAAAATAACACTGAACTAAAAAAATTATTCTTTTTCCTTTTTATTTTACTGGCAAACATCACAAACTTCATTATACAGAGCTTACATTTATTGGATTTTATATAGAACAGAGGAAACCCTAAAGCCTAAACATTTCTTTCTTCTAGCATCTTCGGAGTTTATGCACTGATATAATGTATATTTATCCGCTGATATGAAGTATATTTATTCAAGCCTATTTTTAAACTAAATAGAGAAAAAGGTAATTACGAAAGTAGTTTGGAATGCTTGTGTATTTTTAATGAAACTCTAGGAAGCCAAACTATCTGTGTGTTCCTACATTATTCCCATAGATTACAGCTTTGTATATTTGTAAGAAAGAGTTTGAGGGGAGAAATATTTCCCCTGTCAAAAAGTTTAATAAACATGTGACCTAACTCATGATCCTTCAGGTGACTTCCTCTTCTAAGAAAAAAATGAATTAAATCTTTCACCGCAGATGAAGAAAAGTGCCATTCTTAGACCTCAGTTCGACACTTCAGCGTAGAGCCTTTCATTTGTTGCTCATAGTGTTTGTCAAACTTCTCATTCAGGGCTACCGTAAAGTGATTCTTCCAGTCTCCTGCAATTCCTGTTAACAAAAGAGAAACAAAACAGAACAAAACAAACAAACAATATTGCATCTTTGAGACAGAATTATGGAATTTTCTAATTTTAGCACTTTCACTAACACCTAATCAAGTTTATTCTTATGTACTCATTTTTATGAATAAGGCATCTACCATAAGTAATATACTCATTTGAGTTTACAAAATGGTTTCATTTTATTTGATTAAAAAAAGAAGAGCAAGTTTTATTCTCTGACTTTTCCTTCTTAAGCTACTTCACTTAATTTTTCTCCTCTAATTTTTCCTCAAATATTGGCATCCAGGGAGAGCCCCACGCTTTGTTTACTCCTAAAGTACTAAATGTAATTTTAACGCTTTTAAAAATATAGACCTAGTCTCAGTATCCAACTGCCTACAGGACTTTGCCACTTGGATGTATTCAAAATCAAATTAGTTTAAAAGAATCATTTTCTTCCCCACCAAACTGTATTTTCTCTATGTCCTTTTTCATAATTTGGTTATTTGTAATACAAGGTATACCACTTCTTCCCCCCTCTCCATTTTTTTTTTTTAGAGATTTTTTCTATAAGGGTGCATGTGCTTGCCAGAGAGAGAAACACAAAGAAGCAGAAAGACAAAAATCATCCCTGGTGGGATGGCCAATCTGGGCCCCAATCCCTTCTCCCCTTGGGATGTTGGGCATATACATGTGCCCAATGTGAGTTTCAAGCCACCAGGTCCAGTACTTGAACCATGGTTGACTATGTGAGGGCCTTAACTACAATGCCACCAGCTGGCCCCAATACAAGGTATCCTAAACTTGGTTGTTATCCCCTCAAACACAACATGTAGTTCATTACTAATAGTTACGCTTTCTTTGTACCTACTGTCCCCTCTCTACTTTCTGCAGCAACTGCCAGGTAGAGGAGCCTCTCTGTATCTCCAGGCTGGGTTATTACCATACTCTAGCAGGTTCTTTCCTTTTCTATCACACCCCAACACACCCCTTACGGAAGAATGACACGTTTCTTTTTGAATTCATCAGGATTTCACTTGCCACCTACCTCAAGGAGTTCTAAATGTTAGCACTGACATAACCCCCGTCCCCATGCAAAAAAAAAAAAAAAAAAATGTGGTAGGGTCTGAGAGTTTAAACAGTAAGCAGTCCTTTGCAAGCATGACTATTATTTTAAATGCTGTTTTATCTTAAATATATATATGTAGACATTTTGCAAAAAGAGACAGATAATCTGAGGAGATAATTAAAATGTAATCGGAGAACCAGTTCTCTTTTCAGAGGCTCCCTGTTTTTGCCCAGTGGCAGGTTTGTTACTCCTGTTATTTGGAAAATTCCCTGACCTTCTAGATGATAACTGAGCTTGACAAGCAAGATTTTTTTTTTTCTATTCTGTTTTTACTTTTTTCCCCCCTTCTTTCAGGATTTTACCATAGGGTGCACATACTCTTCAGAGAGAGAACAGAGAGAGGGAAAGTGAGAAATCACCTTCCAGGGGAAATGGTCACAATCAATCCCTTCTCTTCCATTCTCCTACTGGGATTTTGGGCATGCATGTATACTCATCTGGTGTAATTTTCAAGCTGCCAAGTCCTGTATTCAAACTGTGGCTAGCCACAAGGGAGTTGGCGCCCTAACCACCACACCACCTGCTGGTCCCCTGCTTCTGTTTTTTCATGTATCAGTAAAACAGCATGCCCAGTGCTCTGCATATCTTCCACGTCTTTGGATTTATAAACTGGCTATAGCTCATCAGGCCATCCCACCCCCCAGATAGAATTTCAGCTCATTGTATTTGTGTAGTTTTGTTACATAGAGTTGTATCTTGGCCACTGGGTCTTGAAAAGATTCTGTCACTTGTTCAAGGAAAAAGTGACTGTTCCACACATGTTCCTTTCTCTCCAAATGATATAATGGGCCTTTCTTCCTGAGTTTCTAATGAGCACTACTAGACAATATATATGTAAACGGTGCAGCACTGAGGCACTTAGGCTTAGTAAATGATAACTGGTACAGTAAGGCATTTCTACTGGTGCTGAGGGTGGGGTTTCTGCTGGTCATTGTTTCATTTTTTTTTTCCTTTCCATAAGAAAGAGAGATAGTAGCACCTCTAACAGTGTCTCATCACCCTGACCCAAGACTCAGTCACTGTGAATCATTGGCATGCGTATACCTGGTGTATTCAGGAAGGTTCCAGGTTCACACCCAGAGATAGGATATGAACCTGGAACCTTTTCAGGAGAGTCAGCCTGGCAGAACATTGTGCTTCACCACTGTGTCATCATCAAACCCCTCCTCTTATTGGAACTTGCTGGATATACTAAATCATCACATACTAATTTAGTTGTGGTTGTAGTTAGTAGTGTTGTATGTCTCGGCAGAACTGGTAATAAAAAGAGCAGATGTAAGAAAATGTAGGCTGAAGAAAACATAGGCTGGGTTCACAGGCATACAGAGACTCTGTTAGATTTTTGCCTATAACCAACCATCTCATCTCGTGACTTCCTATAGCAACAGAGGCAAACCACATAACTTCCTCACCCTTTCTCATGAAGGGCGATATATTTTGGTTCATGATTTCATCTGGTAGTATTGTGTAGTTAGTATAGGGATTATTCTTCATCTCCTGGAATGAAGTATGCTTTACAATCTTGTCCACCAGCTCTTCAGATGGCTTCCTCCCCAGGAACTGTATCAATTTCATCACCTCTTTTCTGATATCCTAGGAATAAAAATAACCAAATCTTCAACACTACCAACATTGAATACACTGATACTTGACTAAAAAATGTGAAAGCACAAAACCTTTCTTTTCTCCTCTCTTTCTCAACTGATATTGGAATTAATTAGAGTTAGACACATATATAATAAAGGAAAACACGTCTTGGGAAAGTGGGTTTCTTTTGTTTGTTTGTTTTTAACTATTTTGAGCATAATTTTCTTCATTCATAAAACAGATATAGAAGATGCTATGAAGATTGTTAGAACTTGGCCCAGTTATGGTGGTGTAGGTGGTAGAGTGTGGTTGCATGATATTGGAGTCAAATGAGATGCCTAGGGTTGGCTTTCCAGTCAATCTGAACATGCCAGGATCACCTGTGTTTGTCTGTGATCCTGGATGGCTGGGAGATCGGGAGAAAGATTGTGGCATGGCAAGACCTAGTTAACGGTACCTCTCTCTCTCCCTCATGTAGAAAAATAATAAACTTTTAAAAAGATTGCTAGATGAACTAAATGTTTCTAAAATGCTCATGATATCCTTGATGCATAATACATGTTTGTTCAATAACTTATATATTAACATGAAAAGGCATTCTCAAAGACTACAGTCCTCTGTGAAAGATAAAGTTTGTGGATAAAAATGTGCAGACAAGGTTCATTTTTTCTTCTAATTTATTAGCATAACTAATGAGAAGCAAAGGAGCCAGAAAGATTAAGAAAAATGTATAAAAAGTCAAATGCTCAATGTGGAGTATCAGACGTGTATGCGCCATACCTACAAGCATTCTCCTCTCTATGCCACTTACAGCACACCCTATTCTTCAACTGAATTACTAAAGGCAACTATTTCCAGTACCAATAGCAATGTCTATTCTAACGTGCATTTCTTTCTGTGCAGGATGCTGTTCCCAAATCCTTGAACAACTTACAGCTATCACTTTCTTTGGGATGATATCCTTGACTATCTCAATTTTAGTTCGAGGACTTTATCTAAGATTTTTGCCACAAGGTGCATGCATTCACTGGAGAGAGAGAGAGAGAGAGAGAGAGAGAAAGTGAGAAATCATCCTCCAATGGGAATGGCTAGGCTGCAATCTTTTCTTCTCCATTCTCCTCTCAAGATTTTGGGTACACATCTACAGACATGTTTGTCAAGTAGCCAGTTTTATGAAACATCAAAAAAAAATTCTTTAAATTAAAAAAAAATTTAGACGGGTTTTAAGTGTCTTAATTAACAAAATACTTTTATTTACCCACTTCAAATCTGTGCTGAAGTGTCAGGATTGTTGTATATTTTTCCTTTTATAACTTTAAGAGTTGGCTGCCTTTATTTATTTGTTTTTAATGTTTTTTTGCCATAAGGTCCATTTGCTCTCCAGAAAGACAGTGAGAGGGAAGGTGAAAAATCACTCTCCAAGGTGGATGGCCATGCTTTATCCACTCTCCTCCTGGAATTTGGGAAACGCATGCATGTATGCCTGGCATGTTTCAAGCCACCGGGTCTAGGACACAAACTGTAGTTGGCCATGTGGGAGTCAACCACCTTAACCACCACACCACCTGCTGACCCTATCTTAATTTATTTTTAAGGCAAAGTTTGCAGTTAGAGTGTTGACAAATATTAACATCTTAGAAATAACTAAGTTGCTTACATAATTTGTTTCTTACCTCTTTCATGTCTTCATAGAAAATAAATAGAATATTTGGATTCTCTCTTTTTTCCCACCAAGATTGTACATGTTTATACCAGGAACCATAAGGAACTAATATTAGAGAGAAAACAATGTAAAACCATAGAATCATCACTATACAGACTTACAACCAATGTTCAAAACAATAGCAGCAAATAAATACAAATAAATCATCATGAAGTGAAAATTAGATCTGTCACACATTTTAGGCAAAGTCCTCTGTAGCATAAAAGGCAAAACATGTTGAATAACTCATATACAGAAACTCATTTTCATTCTTTATCCTCATGACATGGTTTGTCACACAGAGAAAAATTGAGAGAAGTCCCCCCTCATCAGTTTGATTAAGGAAGAACTTACAATAGCATTTTTGAAACTGTTACATGTGGGGAATGATCTCAGAGCAGGCTGTCATTAAAGGAAGTTGAGTTAGTGGAATTATTAATGGACTTACAGTCAGAAAAGTCTAGTCTAGCGTTCAAATTCACCATGCACAATCTGGCTTTGGCAACTACAACTAGTAACTATACAAGTATTTATTACACTACTAGCAGTTTTATTAGGCAATTTTTCTTTACATAGAAGTTCTACAATTATCGAGAGCAGCAGTTATGTCACTGGGCTTCCACATGGCCAACCAAGATTTGAGTCCCAGACTTGGTGGCGTGAAATCATGCCGGGTATGTGTGCGTGCATGCCCAACATCCCAGGAGGAGCATGTAGGAGAAGGGACTTTTTGTGGTCATCCCCTCTGGAGTGTGATTTCTCACTTTCCCTCTCACTACATTGTTACTCTCCCCACCCCACCCCTATCCTGCACACGGGTGAACCCTAAGGTAAAAACCTCTAAAAAAAAAAAAAAAAAAGTTCTACAATTATCAATATCTTTATAGGATGTTATTCATTCCTTTTGAAGAACGGCATCATTATTTTTCTTTTCTATAATGTTCCTGACAATATTGAAGCAGGTTTTATTTATAATCCTTCTATACATTTTTTTTTCAAAATGCAGGAAAAAACACAATGTACATGCATTCTGCTTTTATTGTGGCACTATTATCTTCTATAAATATAAAGTGTTATTACTGTTTTTTCTTATAATACTACAAGATCACAATGAACTTCCGTAGTGTATACCAGACTCTCTTGGGCCTCTCTCCCTCAAATATAAATCTGTAGTTACTTAGTCTAAGTGCTTAACAAAATCTGATATAGTCAGACTGCACATAAGTAGAATGAGCAAGGCTTTTGTAGATATTCAGACTTCTTGTAGAATTCTGGCTCTATTTCACACTTGGAATTTTTCTTGGAAACAATCTGGCTTTCTAACCCTTTTATTCTCTCCTGTGTCTCTTGTTGAATGGAGTTGTAACAAGTTGTAAAATAGTTTTCTAACACAGAGACAAAACAGGAAGTTGGACATGAGTCTTAATCTTAGTAAGCAAAGTTGAAACTTCCAACTCCAAACACATTTCAGTATTTTTCTTTTTAGAGATTGGACTGAGTGTCTAGATTGTGCAATTTGCAATTCACTTCTGGAAATTCTACACTTACTCTAAACCTCAAACACTTTTAGAATATCTGCCTTTTTTGAGTAAAGATCAGAGAAGATAACATACCAGAACAGATAGCCAATTTTTTTAAACTTAGCGATGTCATTCATCTAGTTTCACATTAAAAAAAAAAAAAAAGAATTCAGAGAAAATAAGTTATTCCTACCTTGTCCATGCATGAACCTCTCCACAAACTCTGGAAATGTTCCAGGATTTGGATGGACAGGTACCATTAGGAAGAAATAATAATAAGAAACAGCCACATCTTTGGCATTCCGGCAAAGATAGATCATCTGTGAGGACAAAATTGTGTATTTAACCACTTCATACTGTTCAAAAACATAATCTCATCAAGATTAGAAAGAAAGCATTCATGTTTTGAACTACGAGCATAATACATATTCACTGTAGAAAAATCATAAAAATACAAAATTATAAAGAAAAACTCCAGTCATCTGAAGGGACTGCAGCTTTTGCAGCGCTGTTCAATGTTTGTTCTCACTTTTTGTTTTTATTCCATACTTGACTTGATGTTATAAATTCTGTCACAGGAAATTCAGCCAGTTAGATTACTTTTATTGCCAATTTATGTGAAGAAATCAAAATTGAGAGAGGATACAGCACACAGTGAATAAATCAATGAGAGTAAATGAGTTGGTGAAGCAGTCCTTTGGTACTTTATACCACACCCCCATTTTGCATCATAAAGAAAACATAAGTCTGGCTGTCTTCTCATTTTCAATACCAGAGGCAAAAAAAATTATATATATACACACACACACATATATATATTATATATACATATATAATATATATATATATTCTTACGGTTCTCTTTAAATGCCCGTTAATCTCAGTGAAAATAAAATCTGCACCACCAATTCGATGCATTTCTACTGTCCATACAGAAGAAATACCATGAATTCTGGCTCCATTTTGCACGTGAATTAACAGTTGGGTGGCCTGGGGTTAGTGGCTACTTCTAGAATTAAAAAGTTCTATCCTCTTATGCAAAACACAAATCATTTTAGACTTAACTTTTCCTTCCACTAAAAAATGTGTTATATCAGATATCTACAGTCTCTTCTAGGTCTGATACACAAAGCTGCAGGAAAAGATTGACAAAAAATAAATAAATAAATAAAACTTCAATATTCTTAGATCTTCCATTTAGGCCCTAGGGTAGCTATCAGTGTCATCAAAGGAGACTGTCCCTGATGCCCACTCTATACTGGATATAATTAGACTCACTAACTTGTCTTATGCAACTCTCTCCATTTGTAAACAATGTTAAAGAAATCCTCTAGTTCTAGTTTATCCTTAGAAGTATGGCTCTCATTCTGAGACCACCAGTTAGTGTAATGGCTATGTCGCTGAACTCCCATATAGCTGACTGTGGTTCTAGTCCGGGAACCAGTGGCTTAAACTCACACCGGGCGTGTGCACGTGCATGCCCAAGATCCCAAGAGGGTAATGGAGGAGAAGGGATTGTGGCATGGCCATTCTCCCTGGAGAGTGATTTCTTGCTTTCTGTCTCTCTGTCTCTCTCTTTCTGGCAAGCACATGCGCCATATAGCAAAAACCTCTCACAAAAAAAAAAAAAAAAAAAAAAAGAAGTATTGCTCTCATTTTAAGGTATTGGTATAAAAACTTCCAATTACTACAAAATAAAAGTGAACTACCTTTTCATACCCAAGCAATGGTTAGCCATGTTGAACTTTTCCAATCTTATTTACAAGGCTTCCTTGCTGAATGGGAACTTTTGCCACCATGTCCATAACTTTACTTCATCATTTTCAGTCGTTTCCATGCTCTTCTTTTCTTGAATGCTCTCTGCATTTTAAAATGTTATCTCCATACTTAAAAGCTTGGACACAAGTCTTCCACGAGGCTTTTTATTTTCCCATATGAGAAAAAAAAATTCGCTTATCTTCCATCTCTGTATTATCTGTCTTCCAGTCATGTTTAATCAATATCCTTAAACTTTTCACTGTATGTGCCTTTCTTCTTCCTGCCCTTTACCAAGACGGGACTCTCCCAGAGTCAAATTTGCCCACACTTCACTTGAGATGATAATCTATTTATAAATCTACACTTGAAAGACCTCTATTCCTGTAGTAATTGACTAATTCATACCTCCTCCATCTGACAGCATCTCTGAGTTGTGCTAATTCCCTTTCTTTACCTGAGACTTGAAATATGTCTCCTAGGATATCTCCTTTCCAAATCCTCATCTCAGTCTGTGCACTTTTAGTCTCTAGGATACATGATTCATCTGATTTTCTAAGTTCATCTACTCATTGCTCACTCCTTCTATTTTACTTCGTTAACCACTTTTATAAGCAGACCTTGAGTATCACTGTCACTCTAAAGGCTTCCCTTCTGAAGCCTTACTCTGAGTCCTATTTTATTCCAAGAAAGTTCTGCTTTTCCTTTTTATCCCCATCCATCATTCAATATACCTCTCTTGCAACTACACACCAAAGTCTCGAATCCATTGGATTTACAAATATCGCCAATCTGTCTGTTTCCTTCTCCACGCAACAATTCATACTGGAATTACTCCAAACATAAAGTCATCCAAGTGTTTCTTACTCTTTAATGATCTCTGAGACTTTAAGTGGTTTTTCAGATAAAAAGTAAAAGATCAACAGCAAGCCTATAAACTATTCTCCAAAGGAAAAACTGACTTGGCCAGATCTCTTGAAAAAATTGTAATAACACATTTTCTAGCAAACATATAATTGATGTTTACTAATAAGAGGCTCCTTACATATGGAATGATTTCAGCAGAATGTATACAATCAATGTAGGATTGCTTATGATAAAGGTAAACAATGGAATCATTATACTCTGGAGCCAAGGTTCTCTAGATAATATCAAATATGCCATGTAACATCAGAGTATAAAATAGAAATGTTTCATAATGCAATAGATCTCATTTTTTGTTAGCAATATATGTGTGTGTGTATATGTGTGTGTATATATATATAGCACTTATAGCTTATATATTGAGTATGGATCATAGAATGTCCTTAAAGAAACTACAAAAATCTTGAGAAACAGCATTGGCATTCTCAGACTCCATGTTTTGCTTGTGCTATGGGATTACATTAACATTTCTTTCCTAAAAAGCAAAGCCAATCATGTAAATCATCAGCTTAATACATCTATAACTCCTTACTACCACTGACAGAGTTTAAATTTAACTTGGTTTCCAATGTTTCTTCTAAACAAATCCTAGGCAATTTCTCTCCACTAATCCAGTCAATATGTTTATTTAACCTTTGAGCCAAACTGAACTGGTTATAGACCCCCAACCTTCCAATAAGCTTGCCTCTGATTTGCCTAACTCCTATGCCTCTTTCACATATCAGCAGAGATGTTACTTGCTCCTGAATGCCTTACTTGTCCCAGCATCTGAGTTAGAATTCTTCACTTACTTGACTTATGGTGCCTCCTGCATTGTCTATTTACTTGTTCTTTTCCTCCAATGGACACTATGAAGATAAAGATCGCCTTTGTCTTATTATGTCCCTAGCACGTTATAGCACTCAATAAATAATCTCTGTGTAATATTTGTCTTCTTTAGCTCTTCTTTGTTCATTTGCAACCCTTGCAATACCAAGCATAATATTTTACAAAGAGAGGACATTCAATACAATCAGTAATAACAACAAACACAAAAGTAGACCGTTAAGTGTTAACAATATGCTAAGTACCATGTCAGACACTTTACAAGCAATATTTCATTTAATCCTTATAACAACTTTACAAGGAAGATACTATTATTCTCCCTCATTTACAGATGAGGAAACCGAGGCTCAGAAAGTTTAACTATTTTTTTTTAGAATCACCTCTGACAAGTGAAGGAATTGAAATCTAGATTCTCTGATTATGTTGACTATAATCCAAATGTATTAAATGTCCATAGATTTGATGGAAAAATAAACAAATTTATATAAGATTAAAGTTAAAACTTTATCATTTTAAAATTTCTTTCTGTTGCATGAAATTCTGAAAACATTTGATTTTGGTCACCTTGCAGTTCTTTTCCCAAAATGAAGCTGGAAGAAGTTCAGTGGGCAGATGTGTCTTCACTATTCTAGGAGATGTCATCTCTTTTAATTGTTTTACTCCTAATATTAAAAAAAAAAAAGAGCAACAACTAGAGGTTAGGCAATTTCAATATGAATTTATATAGATATTCAAAAATCAGAAATAAATTTAAGAGTATATTATGTACATAATAATAATGTACACGCTGGGTGGACTGAGGTGTGTGTCACGCTGGGTAAAGTCTCCTTACTATCTAGATGATGAACAGCAATTACATGTATAAATAATAGTTAACATTAATAAATAAAAAATTATAAAAAACTACACTTAATATTTAAAAAGTATTGCTAGAAGACCTTATAGAAAAAAATCAAATAAAATTTCATCACCTGGGAGCAATTATTATTAATATTTTGGTAAGCAATTTTCTAAGTAAATGTACCTATGTGCTCAGGCTTATAGCCATTACAGTGCCACATACGTAGATAGAACTCTCAGTATATTGTAACTGCTTTTTTTCTTGAATATATTTTACTCAAAATACAGTTATGAAAATGTCTTAATATTTTAACAGTTTCATGGTTTTTATAGTACTTTTAACTCTTTTTTTTTTTTGAAAGGTTTTTGCTATAGGAGTGTGTGCTCACTGGAGAGACAGAAAAAGACAGTAAGAGAGAAAATGAGAAATCACCCCCAGGGGAGATGGCTACACCATAATCCCTTCTTGTCTATTTTTCTCCTGGGATTTTGGGCACATGTGTATAAGTGCCCAGTGTGAGTTTCAAGCTGCTAGATCAGGACTAGAACCATGGTTGGCCATGTGGGAGTCCAGTCCCTTAACCACTACATCCTCCTTAACTATTCCTTTGTTGATTAACATTTAGATTTTTCTCTAATTTTTCACAATATTCAAAGAATCTGTGATGGATATCCTTTGCATGCAAAAGTCTTAAAAATTTACATATATTTTCCAGTATTGAAGTATTATCACATTCAGGTCACAGAGAAACAAATACATATTACTAGGCCTTGCTGAAGGCATACAAGAATTGTTTTTATGCACTCTATTTTAGCATGTTCTCTACCATTTCCCCTATAAAGACTTAAATTTAATTTATACATTTTACTGTGTAAAAGACTTAATGCTAATGGTCACTCTTGCTAACAATCCATGCTTGCACCATCTCCATCCTCATAAAAATATATGTTTTGAAAATCAGCATGAACATTACCATTCATAAACTCTTCATTTCTGCATTCCAGGAAAGGTATTCGATTGAAAATTGCATCTTTGCACTTTTCCACATCACCCTCGTTATAGATCATGTATACAATTTCACTAACCCAGGTTGTACCTGCAAAAATGAAATAAATCTGAGTTTTCCACTAACCATGCAGGGGTGGTGATGGGAGCGCTAGATTTGTAGAAGAACAGAGTTGAAAGGTGCCAATGCAAACGTATCTAAAGGATGTCTAAATACCTGAAACACTCAAAAAATATTTCCTCTAATATTTAATCTTGTAGGATCTAAAAGAGCATCAATAAATTAAGATAAATTTGATAGTAATATAATATGCTACTTTTTGTATGTCTATTTAAAAATGACTATAACTGTCTTATTCACATAATACAGTTAAGAGTATCTAAAAATTAAACATATGTACTGTTCAAGATGAGTTTATCATTTCTAGGTGAAAAAAGATCTTCAACATAATAAGAAGACTTACCAGATTTAGGATAGGTAACAATGACAATATCATCTGGTCTTGCCTGGAATGTTTCCACATTATCCCAATATTTGATAAAGTCTTTATACAGTATCATTCCATGGATTTCACCGAAATTTTTATAATAGTCAAGTTCAGAGGAATCCATTGCAGAGTAGTATGCTAGAAAAAAAAAAAAGGTATGTTTTACTTTTCAATGTTTTAGTATTAGCAACAGCTATGTATGTTGAGCTTTTCCTGGGTGTCTAGCACTTCTTAGCTATTGAAGGGAAAGCATGCTAAAGTTGTGTATGACGTAATCTGCAATCTTGCCATCAGGAGTTTCTAATTCTAATAAGAAGTAGGCTAACATAAAAAAAGGAAAGAAAGTACAAGATATTATAAAGTAAAATGCTTAAAAGTAAGTAGAAATGTAGAACATAATACATTCTATGATGAATGAAAACAACATAGATTTCAATTTCTGTCAAAACTGATCAGGCATGGGGCCAGTAAGCGGCATGGTCACTAAGGGCACTAGACTCCCACATGGCCCATCGTGGTTTGAATCCTGGTTCTGGTGGCTTGTTTTCTCGTGTTCCCTCTCTCCCTCTGTCCTTCTCTGGTCAAATTAAAATAAATAAATAAATAAATAAAGTTAAATAAAATAATTTTTATGTTTCCAGTTTTAATCAGAAAAACAAAAATCTTAAAACATATAAATACAGGGGCCGGCAAGTGGCATGGTGGTTAAAGTTGCTGGACTCCCACATGGCTGACCATGGTTCAAGTCTCAGACCTGGTGGCTTGCTTCCTCCCTTCTTCTCTCTCTCTCTGTCTCTCTCAGATCAAACTGGAAAATAATCATGATAATAATAATAAATAAAGTTAAATAAAAATTTAAAAAAATATATAAATACATTTAGGAGAAAAAAGGGATGGGTTGCCAATATCCATCAGCAAGTGTTATCAACTGGTTCTATAATTCAGATTTTCCTAGTTAAGTCCCACATTTATTCTAAATTTCAATCTATGCATTTACCCGTTTGAATAACATCAACAATGAGTAAAGCAAGATGGCCTAATAAATTCTTTCTATAGATTCTTGGTGGAAACATCTCATTTCTAAAACTAGTTACATCAGTACACTGAAATTAATTCTTTAAAAAGAAAAGAAAGCTGATCAGGAACATACAAAGATTAAGTCCAGAAATTCAACAGTATTTCACCAAAGGGTTTGATTATGTATGTATTAAATAATAATAAAGATTGATGGTCAAATATGATAGTAATAGCCAGATCTCTAAGTCAGAGCTTACTTAGTAACCGGAATGCATAACATTTAATGAAAATAATTCAAAAGGCTAACAAGTGTCATGGAAGTCAGGGTGGCTGGATCCCACATGGTTAACTGCATGGTTTGAGTCATGAACCCACCAGTTTGAAAATCACACCAGGTGCATGTGTGTGTGCAAAATCCCAAGAGGAGAACAGAGAAGGGATTGAGGCATGGCCATCCCTCCTGTAGGAGGGTTGGGAGTTGCAATTTCTCACTTTCTCTCTCTTTCACTGTATGACATTGTAATTATTATACCTAAGATGCAGAATCTTTTTTTTTTTAAAGAGGTGTTTGCCGTAGAGCATGTGTATTTGCCAAAGAGAGAGACAGACAAAGACACCGAGCAGAAAAGTGAGAAACCACCCCCATAGGTGGGATGACCATGCCACAATCTCTTTTCCATTTATCTCCTGGGATCTTGGTCACACATGTACCCATGCACACACACCTGGAGTGATTTTTCAAGCCACCGGGTCTGGGACGCAAAACACGTTCAGCCATGTGGGAATCCAGCAACATAACCACTACATCATCTGTTGGCCTGAAGATGTAGAATCTTGAGAGCACAGAAGAGTCCTCTGACCTTACCTTTATACTTTCATGGAATAACTTGTCCAACAAAGTTGAACAAGAACACTATCATTTGATAATTCATCTCCTTATCTCATGACTATCCATTTTATGTTTAGAGTTAGTCATAGAATTTTTTATTAAGCAAACTTTACTGGTTTTCAGTTTTCTTCAGTGCCCTTTTTCAACTGCTGAACTTATCCCATTTTGAATTTATGCTTAGCCTATCAATAAATGTTATCTTTGCTTGACATTAGCTTTACTGGATCTCCCTCTTATTCATACTTGCATCCAAAGCTGACTGGTAAGTTGCTTTATACTGTTTGGGGCTTTTATTATTCTTTTTAGCGACTTTGTATGATAACAGGGGTCTCTTAGAGCCAATTCCTTTAGCTTCCTAGTGTGTTTCCTTTAACACAGAGAATCTCAATCTTTGAGAGAGACATTTTAAAGAAGCAACAAATGGGTTAACCCAAAAGAAGAAATATTTGATAGAAACTTTTTAGAAAGATAAATATCCTATGAACCAAACCAAAAAAAAAAAAAGCGGTAGTGTTTTTCCCACTAGATTTCTGGTCTGTGCATTAGAGATGAATATTTCTGTAAATATTTCTGTGTTATCTCTTTCTTTCTCATCAATACCTGGCACTAAATCCCACTGATCCCATCTCCATTATTTTGTACTCTCTCCATGTGTATGGATATGGCTATAATTCAGAATCACTCCAAATGTTGATTAGATATGCAAATAGACTTCCAATCATCCTTACTATAAAACATATATACCTTCTCTTGCTCACACAAGAAGAGGAAAATGGATATTATTTGCTAGGCACTTACTTTGTGCCATACTCATAAAGTTTCAAGATCTTATTTACATGTTACAAAATTCTATTAAAAAAGGACCTTATTATCAATCAAGTTAAGTTTGTCCGTTTTTGCACTTGAGGACGAAAACCATATTTTCCTGGAGCCACCAGGTGGACTGATAGTTAAGGCAATAGACTCCCATATGGCCAACTGTGGTTTGAGTCCCAGACCTGAAGGATTGTTTTCTCACTTTCTCTCTCTATATTTCTCTCTCTCTTTCTCACTGGTGATCACACGTGCGCTATAGCAAATTTTTTTAAAAAAATAATAACTAAAATTAAGTAAATAATTAAAAGAAATTTATCTTAGCCAGGAAGGGCAAAAGGATACATACTTTTATGACCTGATTACATATGACTGTTGAAAATTAAACTACAGAGAAAATAAAATTGCCCTTTATTTTACTCTCAAGAGATAAGTCAATATTAATAATATCATATTTATACTTCCTCTTGGAATTTTGAGCTTGCATGGACATGTGCCCAGGGTAAGTTTTAAGCCGCCAATTCCGAGAGTCAAACAGCAGTCAACTACTTGGAAGTCCAATGACATAAACACTACTCCATCTGCTTGATCTGTATTTATACTTCCAAGTACTTAAATACATCTATGAATTATGCATTTATATGCATTATATGCATTTATATGCATTATATAAAAATTAAGTTAAAAATAATCTTGGTGAATTATTTTAGCTCTCCTATGCTCCACTTTCTAACCTATAAATTTAGAAACATAATTATTATGCTATTTATCTACAATAATTACTGAGAATTAAATAAGAGAAGTCTTAGCAATTATACATACCTAATAAGAATGAACTTATATTATATGACAAGTACATATGACAATTTATAGGGAGTATAAACTCTGGACTCTTCCTGCTAGTAACAATACACACTAAACAGTATTATCTCTGTTTCAAGCAGGGAAAATATGTATTGGTGGTCTAGCCTTGAGAGCATAGGCAGAAGTGTACAGAACTGCTGTTTTGGAAGTCAGATGGCCAACCATGGGTTTGAATCTCCAGTATACGTGCAACATGCTGGATACAGACATATCTAAGATTCTGATCCATTGGAGGTGGGGAAAATGGAATTGTCGCATGACCAAACCCAGTGGAAGATGTCTGTGTCTCTCTTTCTCTTATGTTCACACTCACACATTCTCTCTCATAAATAAAACTTAAAAAACTGTGTTTTTGAAAAAAAGAAAAAAACAGGCCAATCCTATAGTCTAGTAATTACTGGAGCTAGATCTCACATGGCTGACTATGGTTTGAATTCTAGCCCTTGTGGCTTGAAAAAAAAAAACATGTTGGGTGCATATGTGTGCATGCCCAAAATCTAGACAGAATGGAGAAATGGAGAAGAAGGGATAACAGTATGACCACACCCCATTAGGAGGTTCTCTCTCTCTCTCTTTCTCTCCTCTCTCTTTCTCTCTCTCTCTCTGGTGAGTACCCACATCCTATGGCATTTAAATAAATAAATTTGTAAAAATAAAAGAAAAAATAAGATAAAACATGTACTGTAAAATATTCCCAAGAAAGTATTTCATAAATAAAAAAATTTGGGGGGAAATACATAGTCAGTAATCTGTTTTCTCACTCAGGAAAGTCAAACTTTTAAATATTCAGTATGACTATTGCTGCCATCTTTTTGCTTCTCTAAAGTTCTCTGAGACAACCTAACATGACATTCATTTCCGCTGGTCCCAAATTGCACATAAGAGGAGAGGCACAATGAAGAAGCTTTTCATTTGCTTTTAATCAAATCATGGCTCAACATGTATTTGGAAACCACATAACAACACTGGTTGTGGATGTTCTTCCCAAAAGAGAAAGGAATTCCACTCCCTTTGTGAAATCTCAACGCTAAAACCTCTCTCACGCATGCATATTAGATTTACATTACACCAAAAGTATAAGATTTCGATTCCCCAAATAAATATCAGTCTTCTGAGTAAATCAGCTTGCTCCCCCAACCTCTCCTTGTTCTCAGAAAAGAGTTCTTTCACTAGAAGAAATGTGTATGAAAAGTACCGCTTGCTCTGCCTATTGATTAGTTTATTCATGTGAATTACTTTCTTGGTGTTCAGCCAAGTTTGTTAGAATTGGCTTGTGGCCAATGTGGAGTGGATGAATTATCATTAAGTGGTTGGCTGACTTTCAGCTGACTCTTTATAGTTAATTTTGATCTCAGAGCAACTGTAAACTAGGTGGTATGCAGTGAAGTCTCTCTTTGTTTTCTTTCTTTTGCTAAATTGTCTCATACCACAATGTATGGATTCTCATTCTAACTGCTGTTGTCCAGAAACACCACCACCAACAAAAAAAAAGTTGTTTCAAAGAGACTCATAAATACAGTTAATTCTGAAATATTTCCCCTTTCTCTCTTCCTCTCTTTATTCATCCTCCTCTCCTCCATTGCTCAACTCTCCTTTCATCTTGCAAATCTGACTCTGCAAAGCCTTCTCCGTTCCTAGGCACCATGGTAAGTGCAGAGATACTATGGTCTATAGAAGCATCAAATTCTCACCCTCTTAGACTTACCTGGATTTGGGCAAAGTGACTAAAAGCTGAAACTATCCTTTTGTTTATCTTCCCATCCCAGGCCTCAGCACTGTGACACAAAAGAGATGCTCTGAAACATTCTGTTCATCTACTAGATCAAATCTTTCTGGTTTCTGTAGTTCATGCTAAGGAATCCTGGATAAAACAGGTAATATCTTGCCAACATTTACCTGCCTGTAATTTACCAAGAACTTTAGACTTCTGCTGTTAAACTGAAGTATCATACTTAAAAATAACAGCAGTATTTGCAAGACTCCCAATATCAATAGGCTGCTGCTGGTATATTTCACAGGAGTGGTCTGCAGCCTACCCACTTCTACTCTGCGAGCTTTGTTTCTCCTTCATCATTACAGTGTTGAAAATGTCGAACATGAGGTAGTTACAAGAAAACAATACTGTAATTTTATGTTAAAGCTCTTTGAACAGTAAAGCACCACAAATTTAAGACATCCTTTTTAATGACAAAAACTGATTTGAAAAGGTTTTAAATGTTTTCCATTATTACTGAACTAAAATAACAACTTTAGTTTTCATTTATTTTCTATTTGAGCAGCTTTGTGATGTATAAATTCTATGTTTAACGTATCTATAATCTAAGTAGTAATATCAATAATAAAAAATATATAACCTGTCCAGATGATCCTGTGCACGATTTAAATGATCCAATTCAGTTTTCTTCAAATACCAATGCAAGTAGGAAGCTGCAGAAAAAGATGAGAACCACTTGTGCATGTGGAAAGTTTCTGGAGAGTATTTATTCTGAATGCCTGAGAAGAAGGAGGAGTTAAATTTCTGGGGGTTGGCTTTGTGGAGTCTGGGATGCAATGGATTGATATAGATAGGCTACATATCTGCAGATACATTTAGCCACACTGAGTCATGTTAATTCATATGGAGATGTGGACAGTCTCTTCTCTGCCATTATTTTTTATTCTTTTGCTCACAATCAAAATTCCTAAATTTGCCTGTAACCTTTAGGTGGTTGGGGAGAGGAAGTAAAGAGGAAGATAAGAGAAGAAACCTGAAGCAAAACAAAATAGATTGAGAAGATAGAGTCTTTTACAAATTCACTGATAAAAACAGGTGGGTTTGATCTTCAAAAGAATGAACGTAAGGGAGAGAAGAAAATGACAGGGAAGAACCAGGAGAGTGGTGAGAAACCTGGGTCAAAAGACTTTTTTCAGTTCACTGAGATCTACCAAAAAAGGTTTTGTTACACTTAGTTAAGTCTTAACAAGTCAAGTGGAAAACATCTTCTATTTAAAAGCATTACTAGAGATAGCATGGGAGGGAGGTGGGCAATGGGGAGGGGTGGAAGAGAGGAAATCAAGGGGGAAAAAAAAGACAGAACACTTAATGGATGCAAAAATTAAAAAATGGAAAATTACTGGACAAATATGCAGTGTATTCATGCTTAGAAAATTCATTTCGTATGCTGTAAAGATTTTGTACAGTGATTAAATGTAAAAAAATAAGAAAAATAAATGATTAAAAATACAAAAGCATTGCCTTTATCTCTTAAACAACTCAGAAAATTAAAATATAGATAGATAGATAGATATAGATAGATAGATAGATACATAACTGCTAAAGAAAGAATGCAAACATCTCTCTCCTTTGAATTATTGTTTTAGAAACTTCACTTCTTTCTGCTCCCGATCACATAATATAATGTGTGGAATTTTTTTGTAAAGGGAGCCATTGATACTGTTGGAATTGAGGAAAGAAAATAAGAAAAGTAAATAGTGAGGGGATTGTGGAATTCATGAGTCTGGCACTTTTTTGTTGGAGAGGTTTTTTGCTATAGGACGTTTGTGCTTGCCAGAAAGACAGAAAGTGAGAAATCACTTCTCAAGGGGATGGCCACACCACAATCCCTTCTCCTCCATTCTTCTCTCAGGATCTTGGGCATGCACAAACACATGCCCAGCGTGAGTTTAAGCCACCAGGTCTGGGACTCGAACTGTGGTCAACTACATGGGAGTCCAGCAACATAGCCATTACGCCAACTGCTGGTCCCACCTGTTTTATTTTCATGTCTCTGTACCCATTCTGTTTTCAGTTGAAGAATTTTTTTTTTTTTTGCTTCAATCCCTTTACGCCGTAGTATCTCCAAATCAGTTAGTTCCAATCCTGATTGGTTCCCATTTGTCTCTTAATTCTAATCAGATTACATCTCTTTTGAAAGACTTTGCCTGTTTCTTACAAGACTGGATATCTCTCAAAGTGACATTAAAGCATTGTACTTTCATTACAGCAAATAGCATAATGGTTATGTTATTGGACTCCCCCTTGGTCAAGTCCCAGATCCAGTGGCTTGAAACTTATGCCAGGCATGTGCATGTGTGTGCCCAAAATCCGAGAGGAGACTGAAGGAGAAGAGATTGTGGTGGGGCCATCCCCATAAGGGCTTGATTTATTGCTTTCTGTCTCTCTGTCTTTCTCTGTCTCTCTGGCAAGCACACATGCCCTATAGCAAAAAATCTCTAAAATAAGAGAAACATTATACGTTCTCCTAAGTCTCACTTATTCCACTGTGCTACTGTGTTAATACTGTGTTAATACTCACTTGCATAACTTTTTTTTTTCCCTATGTAGTATGCATGCTTACCTGAGAGATAGAGAGGCAGAAAGCAAGAAATCACTCCTCAGGGGGAATGACCACACTGCAATCACTTCTCATCAATTCCTCTCTTAAAATTTTGGGGATCCATGCACGCATGCCTGGTATGAATTTCAAGCTGCTGGGTCTGGGATTCAAACTGCTGTCAGCCATGTGGAAATTCAGTAACATAATCATTATTCCATCTGTTGCATAGTTTTGCTTTTTTTAAATTAGGTCATAAATACCTTAAAAACAGGGTCCTTATACTGTAATTAGCACACTCTCTGACATCTAATAGGCTAGTCATTGCATTTATATTTACCAAATGAAAGTGACTGATGTGTTCAAGAAAGATAAGGAGTAAACGAAACCATAGTAGTTATAGAAGTCAACAATATCCAATTTTACACAAAGTAAAAAGAGTTAAGAAGTTTCTGAGAAACTGGGATACTCATTATTGAAAATTGAGGTAGACAAGGAATACTCAGTGGCTCAAATTTAGATTTTGACTTTACTTAGTTGTATTAAATAAAATGTGTGTTAAAGATACTCAAGTCCAGCCCCAGTGGCACAGGCAATAGGGCACTTCTGCAACATATTGGAGCCAGATAAGAGACTGAGGTTTGAATCTTGAGTCAATCTAAGCATTCCAGGTAAACCCTTATACCTGTGTGGTCCTGGTTGGCTCAGAGGCTGGGAAGAGGACTGGCCATGGTGAAGCCCTGTTAGGGGTACTTCTTTCTTTCTCTCTGTCATTATCATGAAAGAAATATTAAATTAACTTTAAAAATACTTATTAAATATACAAATTTAATACAACCCATAATTTTTAACCGCCCGACACAGCTTCACTTTACGTTTTTAATGATAAAGACCTATGAGATTTATTTTACCATTTAGCAGAAAACAAATAAAAATGTTAACTTAGGAAAGGCAGAATATAAGCACACACTAATCTGAACACGTTTAAGTTTCGAACCATCTCTCTGTCACTCATAAACAACTGGCTGCAAGACTATTACAAATGCTTCCAGTTCATGAGGTACTGACAAACACTGAGTTTCGTATACACCTACTCTGAAAAATCTTCCAAATCATAGCTAGTAACCTGCTGATAAATATAAAATAATAGGAAAACTAGCCCAGAAACTTCATTCTTCACAATGAACAACACTTAAAGTAGGAGTTACAAAATGCTTGAGTCAATGATCTGACCTTTCTTCCTCAGAAAAGCAACTGATTTAAAAAAATAGTAAATTAGAGGCCCTTGCTATAGGGCATACCCTTTTGCTGGAGAGAGAGACAGAAAGCGAGAAATCACCCCCGGGGTGGGGGGGGGGATGATTTCTCGCTTTCTGTCTCTGTCTCTCTGGCATGTGCTTAGCAAAAATCTCTTAAAAAAATCATGAGACATGGAAAAAAAAAGAGTTCTTAAGGATTTAAACATTGCATTATTTTCTTTGTGTTCTCATCTTCTGAAATATTCATTAAAATATCCCTGTGGAGTATAAAGAAATAATATAATTTGACAGAATGTGATTTACCAGTATAAATTTGCCATATTTGCCTTTATGATTATATTCCAGAAAAGCAGAAAAGCAAAACTCAGTAAGGAAATAGTCTTTTTCTGATTTTCAATATTTGTTCCATAAACATCCTAGAGTAGGAAACATTTATGTCAAGGTCCTTTGTAACTTTATTAAGTAGATTTTCTTTTTTCTTTCTTTCTTTTTTTTTTTTTTTAATAATGGACAGAGGCAGCCTTACCTTAGGTAGCCCAAGCAACTTGTGCCTCAACTTGAGCTGCCCAGACAAACTGGGCATCTTTATTTATAGTACAAGGTGACACTACATATGTATATTTTATGACATACCATAGATATGTTGATGTGTTAGACAATAAGAATCAGGTAACAAATATATAAGGGCTTAGACATACTGAGCCAGGTGTATCCCTTGGTGATAATCTCATCAAGAAAAATCCCATTATCTTCTTTTCTAATGGATAGAAGGATAGCTGCAGGTGTGGGGAAGAAACATAAGACTAAAGAATCTCTCCGTGGGGACCAGCAGTTAGTATAATGGCTATGTCACTGGACTCCCATGTAGTTGGCTACAGTTTGAATCCTGGACCTGGTGGCTTAAACTCACACCAGGTGCGTGTGCATGCGTGCCCAAGATCCCGAGAGGAGAATGGACTGCTTTTTCCTTTTTCCAAAGTCCTTTCTAGAGAAAGGCCTGGGAAGAGCCACACCCACAAACATTAATAAACCATTTTTCCCCCATTTAAGAGTGATCCCAGTTAGCAAAGTCCAATCCCTGCACTGCATCATATAAATAATACTCACTCTAAAATTTACCTTTTAAATTGATTGACTATTTGGAAATAACCATGCCTTTTGTCCATAGGAATTTTTCCTATATGACTCTCCTAGAAACCTGAAGATGCCTCGTCATGAATAAAAAATAAAAAATAAATTAAAAACGCTAACGCAAACGCTAACGCTATCGCTAACGTTAACGCTAACGCTATCGCTATCGCTAGCGCTATCACTAACGCTAATGCTATCGTTAATGCTAGCGCTAGCGCTAATACAAACGCTAACGCAACCACAAACGTTAGCGTTAGTAGTTGTGTTAGCGTTAGCGGTTGGGTTAGTTATTGGGTTGCATTAGTGATTGTGTTAGCGGTTACATTAGCGGTTGCGTTAGCGGTTGTGTTTGCATTAACATTTGCATAACATTTGCTAGCTTTTGCACTAGCGTTTTTAATTTATTTTTATTTTTTATTTTGAGGAGGCATCTTCAGGTCTCTAGGAAAGTCATACAGGAAAAATTCCTATGGACAAAAGTCATGGTTATTTTCAAATAGTCAACCAATTTTAAAGGTGAGTTTTAGAGTGAATTTTATTTATGTGATACAGAGTAGCGATTGGACTTTGCTAATTGGGGGGTCACTGTTAAATGGGAAAAAATGATTCGTTAATGTTTGTGGGTGCAACTCTCCGCAGGCCTTCTGGAAAGGACTTTGGAAAATATAGGAAAAAGCAGTCAGACTTCTGTCCACAGTCCCTCCTGTTAGCCAAAAATCATTCCTCTCAATGCATGTG